TGCGGCAAAGATAAAACTCATTAAGAAAATTTTGATACTTATCACCTAATACCTTTCGGAGATTCTTATGTAGATTTGGGTAATATGATAAGCACAATGGATTGGATAAGTTGAAGGAAATACTTGACTAATAGCTGAATCAACAGCAGGATTAGCATCCGTAAGTATAACGCCCGGATGTACACCAGTTGATTCTATAATTTGGCTGAACATCCACACATGTGATTCGAAACTCTCATCTGCTAGAAGACCTTAAGCAAGTAAGATATTACATCGATCATTGTTAAATCCAACAAATAATGACAAAGCCATTCCATAACAATTGGTCTTATGTGTAATATCGTTAAGGACACAATCAGAATATTGTATCTAATTTTCGATTTGTCTCAGCGTCATCCACAATAAATGGGTTAGGACATTATCATCATCCTACCCATGTATCACGAACCATCGAGAATCAGATTCTTTTTGTTCATCAAGCCAATTCAAAATCTTTGCTGCATCATTTGATAAAGATTTGCAGGTTAGGCGAAACTTATTTATTGCAGCATAAGGATCTTTTGAGTAAATAGGATGCAATGAAAATTTGCTTTCAAGAAACTTCCTTTGAGCGATAGTACCAAATTTGCAAGATATGGTCATAAACTTAATGTCATCCATCATTTCACCTGTAAACTTCTTAGATTTTTCAAATTCAATCCTATCCTTATTTAGTTCATGATTATGTTTGTCTACAATTTTATTGACAAACACCGAAGTATCAGGATTCTTATTTTTCGGACATGATGTATTAACCAAAAAGGACAATGAGTCCTTTTAAAACCAGTGTCTTTGTTTGAATTTAATTCATAAGTTCGTCCGTGATCACATATAAACGCCCGTCTACGAACGAAACTATTCTCACGTAACATCCAATCTTTAATTATTCGAAAACCTTGCTTTTTAGCCCATACATCTAAAAATGATTCACAAATTTCCCAAGTAAAAAATTTCTTTCCTTCGTATAAAGTTATTGATTCTAGTTCAGTAGGAGAATCTACTTCACCATCCATCTGATTAGAATTATCTATTATAGAAAGATCAAAGCAGGTAGTTAATAGTCGAATATGAATCATTTATCCGATAACAACAAGCTTATCATTAATTACGTGTTCATATTGATGCTAATCCTTTTTTCTATAATCTTAGAAGAAGAATATAGCCAATATTCTAATCCTTAACGTTGCTATATCATTTAAAATTCATTGCATTAATAAACACACTTACTTGCATTATCGCATAGGAATTCTATTTCTGAAGCAACGTTGTTCATGTTAACCTATTTATATTATGTTTAAAAGCTAAAGAAGAAAAAAAAAATAAAAAAGGAACGAAAAAAAAACAAATAATGTGGCTGAAATGTAAGAAAAGTAAGTAAAAGGTAAGCAAATAAAATTTTTATGATCATAATTTTTACGATCATCATTGATACAAAAAATATTATCTCATGCCACGTGATTCTGTATATCACAAGATCAAAGCTGCGCAACGGCTATCCTGAACTAATTCTTACAACTCTTACCTAATCTAAACCCTAACCCTAACCCTAAATACTAACACTAACACTAACCCTAACTCTAATCAAACCTAATTCTATGAAATTCAATACTTAAATGCTGCGCAGCCGGCTTACCTAACCAACCAGCCCTTTTCGAAAGATCTCACGGCAAAAAAAAATACATTGCGAAAAATCTTACGGTAAAAAACAAATATACTGCGCCACTTATTTAATAAATCACGTGATACATGGGGTATAGTGATATATCGCTACTGCGATAAATTATAATTATCTTATAATAATGTTAGTTAAACCTTTTTCAGAATATATATTTTTTTAATATTCTAAGTTATTATTCATGTAAATAAATATAATAAATTATTATTTTTAAAAGTTTTTATTAAATTTTTTAATAAAATTTATTAACGACCAAAAATGTTTTTATATATAAAAATATCTAAATATCTTTGTTATTACTAGTAGGAAGAGGACATAAAATATCTTTAAATTCTTCATTAACATATTGACGAATTTTGTTATACAAATACTATTAATATTTTAATGTCAAAGGTTGAGTATTAAGAATCGAAGAAAGTTGATTGAAATTACAATTATTATTTAAAAGAAGAACAAATGGAACTTCTTTACCTTCTAATTCTTTAGAACAATAAACCTTGCCTAATTCTGACTTAGAAAATTGAAAATGATAAAATTTTGTTATTCCTGAAAGTCCTTTAAAATGTGGTAAAAAAAATGATGTAAAATCATACCAAATCTAACCTGATCTTTCATTATATCTTACTGTTTTATTTGCAATTATAGATATATTAATTATCTGTTTAATGTCATTTATTATATTAATTTTATTTTTATAATAAAGTTTTTTAAAATTTATAAAATACCTATCGCAAATGAACTTAGTATGTCCTAGAATCATGAAATTTAATTCAATTTCATCAAACTATCCTATTATTATTAACCAAAGCCAAAACCATAAAGAAAGATTATTTTTGTTTTGTCTATCACAATTATTACATGTGATTTTTAAAAGCTTTTTTTCATTTTTTTTAAATTCATTAAGTGAATGAAATACCATGTTAAGAGTAATATTAGCTCCCTTTGCTATTTCTATAGGAAATTCATTTTCTCCAATAATAAAATTAAGTTGTCTATTTATATTACTAGTACTATAAACACTGAAAATATGAGCAGCAAAAGCTATCTTAAAATAAGTTGCATCTATTTGTTGAGGTGAATAAGGAATAGAGACATTCTGAGTTTAGTCATAACATATATGAATAATGTTATTATTTGTTTTACTCAATTCAATATTTTTATTATAATAATTATGCTCAGTATCAGCTTGAGCTTTAT